CTAACATTATTCTAAAAATATATCTTATAAAGCTACTTTAATTAATTCCTAAATTTATTCTCATAAAACTGGTTGAGCTGCTTTCTCAAAGAGTTTCTTTGTTTCTCAGTCAAGGTGCACTAGTTCTCATATCTTTATAATCTTTCTCAATAGAAAGTAAGTTCTAAACATCAGTCCACTTTCCACCAATATTAACTATGCACATCATAAATTCCTATGTAAAGTAAAAAAGGGTTTATAAAAAGAGAAGAATATATCTTTATATGTTTTAACTTTCCTAAGTGTATATAACTTTCCTCAATCAAGAATGAGACTACACATGGTGGGCTTTGTAAAATAAGCATAATGATTAGGTTTTCTAAGAGGCCCGAAATACGGGCTTGGGTTCTAGTTGATATAATCAATGTGGTGCCTAAAATTCTCATGACCTTTCAGAAAATGATTGTTGTCCGTTATCAGGTTTGTCCTCAATGTACTGAGATAGAAGAACAGCCTTCTACTTTGTCCTTGATATGCTGAGGGGTAGTAGAACAGCCTCCAAGGCATGGACTACCTGTTCTAGCCATCTGAAATTTAATTTGTTTGGCATTTAACATACTCATGCCTCCTGTGAGAAACATAAGCATGAAAATGCAAAGTCCCAATTACATAAAAAAGGGTCTAATGGTTTCGGTTTCCCACCAACCAGCGCGGCTTTGCCAGCATTCATCTTCACTGTGACCCTGTCAAGACAGTGAGTGGGGGATCGCCTTCACCAGTGAAAGACCTCTACAATGAAAACTATAGAAGACTAAAGAAAGAAATTGAAGAAAACCTCAGAAGATGGAAAGATCTCCCATGCTCCTGAATAGGCAGAATGTGCAAAAAACATTCACTGAAGAAAAGAGCCTATTCAACAAATGGTGCTGGCAAAACTAGAAATCCATATGTAGTAAAATGAAATTAAACCTCTATCTCTCACCCTGCACAAAAATCAACTCAAAGTGGATCAAAGAATTAGGCACTAGAACAGAGACCCTGTGCCTGATAGAAGAAAAATTAGGACCAAATCTTCACCAAGTCAGCCTAGGATCTAACTTCCTTAACAAGACCCCTAAAGCACAAGAAATAAAATCAAGACTCAATAAATGGGATAGATTCAAATTAAAAAGATTCTTCTCAGCAAAGGAAACAATCAATAATGTGAGGAGAGAGCCTAAAGAATTGAAAGAAAATCTTTACCACATGCACCTCTAAAAAAGCATTAATCTCCAGGATATACAAAGAACTCAAAAAACTTAACACTAAAAGCAAATAACCCAATCAATAAATGGGCAAAGGAACAGAACAGACACTTCACAGAAGAAGAAATACAATCAATCAACAAATATATGAAAAAGTATTCCACATCTCTAGAAATTAGAAAAATGCAAATTAAAACTATCCTGAGATTTCATCTCACTCCAGTCAGAATGGCAATCATCAAGAATACAAACAACAATAAGTGTTGGTGAGGATGTGGGGGGAAAGGTACACTCATACATTTCTGGTGGGACTGCAAATTGGTGCAACCACTATGGAAAGCAGTATGAAGATTCCTCAGAAATCTGGATTCGCCATTTGACCCAGCTATCCCACTCCTTGGTTTATACCCAAAGGACTTAAAATCAGCATACTATAGTGATGCAGCCACATTAATATTTATAGCAGCTCAATTCACAATAGCTAAATTATGGAGTCAACCTAGGTGTCCTTCAATAGATGACTGGATAAAGAAAATGTGGTATATATATTCAATGGAATTTTACTCAGAGTTAAAGAAGAATGAAGTCATGGCATTGGCAGGTAAATGGTTGGAGTTGGAGATTATCATTCTAAGTGAAATAAGCCAATTCCAAAAAACCAAAGGCTGAATGTGTTCTCTAATGTGCAAATACTAATTCACAATAGGGTGGGGGGCACTAGAGAAGAATAGAGTTACATTAGATTAGGTAGAGGGAAGTGAAGGGAAGGAAGGGGAGAGGATGTGAGGATAGGAAGGATAGTAGAATTAAACAGAGATTATGACTATGTGTATATATGACTTCATGACCAATGTGATGCTGCAACATGTACACTCAGAAAAAAGAGAAATTATATCCCATCTATGTATGATGTATCAAAGTGAATTAATGCATTCTACTGTCATGTATAACTAATTAAAACAAATTAAAAATTTTTAAAAAGAAGAATGAAATTTGTATGAATTTATTGTTACATTGTGTGCATGTACAAACATGAGACAATGAATCCCACCATTATGTATAATTATAATGAGCAATAAAAAACTATGGGAAAACAAAGAAAAAAGAGGCAGCCAACCATCATGGAGCTGGGAAAGTGAGCTTTAAATTCAGAGAAATGTGAGCTTCTAATGTCATCTCTGACAAGTTACTTAATTCTCTGAGCCTCAGCTTTCACCATTATAAAATATAGATTAGAATATTCTCAATGTTGTTACAAGAATATAAAACATATATTAATCAGTTAATTTAATGGCAATTACTTTTTAGGAATCAACCATTTTCTAAATTCTTTTGTTTTGGTGGAAATGATCATGTAAGAATGAACATTTTTCTAGTTATACTGCTTTGTCATTTGTATTGCAAAGCTTTCATGAGACCCACATTATTTTAGACACCCTCATTTTTTCTACAAGCTATAATTTTATCTTTGAGGAAAATGAAAATGTTTTAATCTTACATGTTTCATTTTGTTGGATTTTTTGTTTGTTTGTTTATAAATACTTTAATGTTGTTTTAGGAGGAGAGTACTACTCTGTAGAATTCCTGTCATTATGAACAGATAATTTTTTTAATCCCACAGATAAATTTAAATCCCCAAATTTAGTTGGTATCCTTTTCTAGTAAACTCCACAAGAACAAAATAGTGTTTTAATTGTGTGAGAGAATTCCTGCTACAGGACCCAGGAATCCTTGGTCATATCACATATTTGAGGTACAAAGTTTGTTTCTAGAGTGATTCTCAACAGGGTCAGCACACAGAAATCAAGAACCATATCAGATCATGGTTTCCACAACATCCTGCTCATACATAAGGAGACATGAAGCTACTCAACTCTCCATCTATTGGACAATTATGTTATATGCACGTATGACTATGCCACAAAGAACTCCACTATTCTGTATAATTATTATGTATAATTTTAAAAGATTGTGCTTTGCAAAGCAGTATCAGTCCATTTTATCTTTATAATAGACTGCACAGAGCAGAGTTCTGATTGGAAACGTTTAGGGAAGTGAAATTAAATAAAGCTGTAAACCAGAATCACTTTAATCCTTTAGGATTTCCAAGAGTCTTTTTTTTTGTAAGTATTCAAATATGCTTTATGAACTTTTAAATGGGAATACAGCTTCCAGCCATTCTCAAGATTTATTTGGCACAGAACTCCACTGATTTTTTGGAAACTTGGTTAACAACCAACAAAAGGTCTTTTGGTGATAGCTTGTTCCACCCGAAGCTCAGGTCTTACCTTCTGTGCTGATCTGATAGTCTGGACTTCATAGAAAGATGCTCCATGTAAACAAACTGGATTATCTGGGGATTTTGACTTCTTTTTCAAAGATTATCTTTTCATAAGGAAAATAATAAGTTGTCATTGTCTTCCATGCTATCCAATAATTTTAATCGATGTTCCTTTTAGGCGAGCTACCAAAGACAATACAAGAATGAGACTCTGTCCCAGAGTGCAGCCCAGGTGTTGGTTGGTGCAGCAGGAAGCTTTGGTGAAAGGAAGGGAGAGTAAGTATGTGTTAAGAGAGGCCTCCCATCTTAAGCCAGGGCATGTAGGAAATTATGCAAGTGAGTTTTCCTGCTTTTGTATGGTAACTTGGGTTCATGTGTGAGTACAAGGCACTGCCTGTTCTACCCTCAGGGTTAGGGAAAATCACCTGCTTCCACTTTGCCAAGCTTGCTTGCACTTGTTCATGTCTGTGCTTTTGTACAAGCTGCTCCTTTTGAACAAAAAGCTCTCCTCTTCCTATTTTTGGCCCCTACCCCAAAGTTAAGCTGTGGTAAATTACTTTATCTAAGACTATTTGAATGCTTAAGAGCACAGTGTTCCTTCATCTCCACATGCACATCTTCCCAAAGCACAAGTGGCCCTTCAAACATCATCTATTAATATTCAACATACACATTTTGGAATATATGATATTTTTTACTTATACATGTCAGAGACATGCATTGAATGCTAATATGTGCAAAGCTGCATGTCAGGCATTGTGGGGAATATCATGATTAGTAAATTGATGTTCCAGCTTCTAGAGAATGTCTGTTGATGGAATTTTCTTCTTTGCTGGGATGTCTGAGAGCTGACTTTGCTATTTATTAACCATTCCCATTGTAGCTCCTTGGGTTGGTGTGTCCTGTGACCAAAAAACAAGTTTAAGCATAGAAAGAGTAGAGGATTTACACAAAGGTAGCATGGCCAATGCTAAAAGTCTATGAAATTGCTCAAGAATAATGTATAGTTTATTGTGTGCTATGCCAGACACATTTTTTTAACACTAAACGCTCAAGGTCACTCCAGGTGAACTGGGCTGATACGAAACAATCACACAGAGACAGAGAAATACCTTTTTCTTTGGGTCTTGTGATGGCTCCTCTGACCTTAGGGATCCGTGGAAAAGAGAGAGAGCAAGGAGCACTTGCTGAACCCTTTCAATGGGGAGAAGCCATTCAAATAAGGCAAAGGGCCAGGTTTCAGGGGCTTGAGTCTAGCTTCCTGATGTCTGCTGTCAGCTGATTGACTGACATCTAGGAAGGCCATGCCCATCTCATGAGCTGTGTGGGGATCAGAGGCACAGCAAGTGAAAAGACCAGAGTGAGGCCCGCCCAGAGGGGCAACATTGATTCAATTCACTTTGTGCACTCAGTGCTCATAGTTCACATACACACAGCCCATGGCTGACTTGCCACATCTCCACATTCTCATGGCTCAAGGCTAAGGGCACTCGGTTCCTATGTGGCAGCTCCTGACACTTTAGATGCATTATTTACTTTTAGCTCACAAAAATTATATGAGAGAAGTGCTATTATTATCTTTACAATGGGGGGAAGAAAATGAAGCATAAAGATTTTAGATACCTTACTCATGGTCTTTTGTATAATAAGGCAAGGTGCCTCACCATCCAGTTAGAGACATCATCTGTTCCCTACATCACCTCTAAAGAGTGAACATGTGATGTAAAATATGAATTCAGGAGCCTGCATTACTTAGAAATTTGGGCTGTAAATGATCACATACTTACTGATATCACAGAACTTTAAGATTCATAGGAACTCATGAAATCATCAGATCTTAGCTTAGATATGAATTATTTTAGGAGGGTTTCCTGCTTCTCCAGAACTCTGTTAAATGTCCCCCTTAGAGAGTGTCTCTGTGGGAACACTCACTACACTTCAATATAATTGTTATGGGCAAGTTTTATCCCTCTTGTTTTTTGGGTAAACCCCTAAGTATAAAATTGGTATTTAATTTCTTGAGGTACCACCACATTATGTCAAAGGCAGAGACTAGTAAATCCACAGCAAACAAAATGGGTGTTCAATAGATATTTTTTTTCAAATAGTGAATGGATCAAATCACCTCTACACTCAAGATTTTACATGTAACTAACACATTATTGTATTGAATCTTGGAGAATCCAATGACAACATTCTTTTCCATTACATTAATATCCCTCTAGCAGAGAAATTGCACACATTTCAAAGTGAGAGCATTTTAATCAATAGAGAGGACAAGGTCCACCTTTAAATTCAGGTTCCATTGCCCTTCCATGAAGCCACAGGACAAGCTTGGGCCTCAGGCCCATTTACCCAGACCTCTGTCACCTGTCTGACGAAGGCAGTAAGGGTTTCTGGTCAACAGCAGGGAAATTTCTTATAAAACCAAAAGGGTTAACTGAACAAGATCAAGGCACAACACAGGGATCTGACCCTTCTCAGCACAAACCCTGCAGACAATCTGAAGCAGCGCTACCAGAAAGTCTTTTGGGGTCCTTCATAGCACTAACCTTTCCATTGTAATTTGACTCGTTGCCCTAAAGATGAAACAAAAGAGATAAATGTGTGAGATGGTCTAGCTACTTTATATATAGTTAAATGAGGAGATTATATATAATATTATAATCTCCTCATTTAACTATCCTAGTCTGACATGATATTTTTACCCCTAGTTGTAAGTACATGTTTATGAGTTTCTGTGTTTATGTGTTCACTGCCATATCAGACAGTAGGAAATGCAAAATGAAAACCAAGGTGAATTTGAATCATGAATATTTGAATGATATTCTCTTCCTGGGCCTTGAACTGTCTGCTCTTTTAAACCATGGATCCCCAATTTTTGTGTGCTTTTTCTTTAATGAGTGGGTCTGACAACCTAACTTTATAATTGTGTATCTACTTGAGTCTACGATTTCATGACTTTCATCCGTACTCATGAAAATGTCTCATTCACAGATATCACTGCATAAAATGTTTTTCCTGCTTTCTGACAACACTGTGTTAAACTTATCTCAACATGTTTAAAACATATTTAAAGATCTCTCTCTCTCTCTCTCTCTCTCTCTCTCTCTCTCTCTCTCTCTCTCTCTTTTTATATACATGACTCCTGAGACAATAAAGCATTATTATGAAAGCAAAAAACTACTTAGCTTCCTTAGAAAAGTACTGCTCAATTGGGTATACAATACTAAGAAAGATAAAGGGATTCCATCAAGGTAAATGCTTTTGAGACTTATAAGAAATGTGCTTTATGTTTTTTTTTTTTAAATTCTCTTTTCATTCTCTTTTTAATTATAACCTAAATACTTTGCAAAATATTTTTAAGTAGCTTAAAACTAAATTACTTGTATACTAAACAAAAATTACTTTAAAAAGGAAAGACAAATATGTTCTCTTTTTTAATTGAGATGAATCTCATATAACATAAAATCAACCACTAGTTATTTTCAAGTATACAATTCAATATTATTTTGTACAATCACAGTGTTGGACAACCATCAATTCTGTCAAATTCTGTAACAGTTTTACTAACCCAAAAGAAAGCCAATATTCATTTAGCAGTCATTTTGCATTCTTTCCCTTATTTTTCCAACTCCCAGATAGCACTAAATTATATTCTTTTGCCTGCTCTGAATTTTAATAGAACCATCCATGGGTAGCCTTTTATTTCTAGCTTCTTTCACTTACCATAATGTTTTCATGCACATGAATGTAGTATGTATCATTAGCATAAGGTTCATCCACTTTGTAGTTTATCAATATTTTACTCCTTTTTGCATCTGAATGATATTCCATTGTGTGGAATATAATTTTTTTTTAACCCATTCATCTGATCATGGACATTTGGACTGTTTCCACCTTTTGGCTAGTATAAATAGCACTGTTATAAATATTTGTGTACAAGTATTTGTTTGAATGTTTGCTTTTCATTCTTTAGATAATTTTATATTTAACTTCTTGATAATTTTATATTTAGCTTCTTGAGCTACCACCAAATTGTTTTCCACAGCTGCTAAACAATTTTAATATTAGAAAGTATGAGTTCTTCAACTCTATTTTTTCTTTTACAAAACTGCAGTAGTTATTTGAACTCTCTTGAAACGACATATGAATTTTATGATTATCCTATCTATTTCTGCAGAAAAAAAATCACTGATATGTTCATAGAGGTTGCATTGAATCTGCAGATGCATTGAATCTGCAGATGCACTGAATCCGTACGTTGCTGTCTGTAGTATTATAATTTAGCAATATTAAACCTTCCAATCCATGAAAATGGAATGGAATTTCTCTCTTTAAAAAATTTAGACCCTTAATTTCTTTTAGTAGTATATTGTAGTTTTCAGAGTATAAACCTTTGGTTAAATGTAATTTTAAGTATTTATTCTTTTTAATGCTGTTTTAACTAGAGTTGCTTCCTTAATTTCATTTTCAGATGGTTTATTCCCAGTGTATATGCCATATAAAAATAATATAAAAAGATAATTGTATTTCTTTTTTTTTTTTCAATTTGTATGCCTTATGTTTCTTTTCTTAGAACTGATGGGAAGGGATATTGACCCTGTTTCTCAACAGGAGTTTCAAAAAATTTGTGGCTACTTTAATCTACCACACTCAAATGGCAAATGTTTACATTTGTATTGCATACCTTTAAGAGCTTTTAATACTGATTTACGCTACAACTCTTCTAAGTAATCATTTCTATTGATTAAATTTGAAAAAAAAAAGAGATTTGAAAAGCTAGTATTGGCAGTCCCTATATTCTTTAAATATTATCATTCCTAGGTAAGTAGTGGTACAGATTCTGAAGTCAGGTGTCTCAATTTAAATCCTAGCTGCATGATTTATTAGCCAAAAGAGCTTTTCAGGCCTCAGTCTCCTTGATCTGGGGATGGCTAAGARATTATGTGTGTCAAGGGGCCATTTAGATGAACAGTTAACTAGAAAGACACTTTTCTAAAGAGAACCTGGTTACGAAAGGGATAAGATCAATTACTACGTGATTATTTCTCCAGATCCCTGAGGGCACATATACATAACTATCAGGTCAAACGTTCACGTGGATCCACTATCCTATTATAGCAGGAGTGGCCAAGTGGCCAAGTGGAACCAATAAACAAAATCAACCATAAATTTAAGCAAAAGGTATCACAAGTGCAATTCTGTGCCAATACAGCTTTGCTGCTGGAGGAGATCAAGAACAACATTCTGGAGAGCGGACCAAGAAGGGCAGATGTGTTGCTGTCATGACATTAACAAGGCTTACTTACCTTGGCTCCTTGCACATGCAAGCATTGCTTAAGGCTTTGGAGGACCCTGGCAATGTTTTTGTATTCAAAAATGTCATTTTCTTTTTTTCAAGTAGAACACAAAATTATAAAGAGCTTCTGCCTCATAACACAAATGTACCCCTGAGAATGGGAAAATAATCCAGCATTATTTGATTTATTAATCAATCATATCATTTAATTTAAAACAATAATATATTATTATACTACTTGAAAATATTTTTAAGTATTATCATTATTATTGTTATTATTGTATATAAAGAGTAAATTTTCTCATCCACAGTTATACTCTTTAGTATTATCCTTGGTATGAAACTATTTTTTAAAGCACATCACCATTTCAAATTTTTTTGATAAGATTTGGGTCCATACTGTTCTAATACCACACATCTCAGGCTTTCTTCCCAATTTTATGCCTGGACAAGGTAAGATGTTCATATACATTTTTTTWAAAAAAGCAGATTACGGAAAGACATATACATGCTATAATTCCTTTATGTTCATAATGTAGGTAAGAGGAATTCTTATTGTTTTATTTTTAAAAATATTTTCAGTTTGAATTATCCATGGCTTATTCCAAAAGCATTTCTATTAAATGTTAAATAAAAGTTAATGAAAGGTGAGAAAAGAAGGAAAAGGAAAGGGAAAACTAAACTCAAGAGATTAAGCAGAAGAGGAAATTAAAAGGACAATGTCTGAGTCAGGATGACAATATTAAGCCAGTGGTGGCTGCTTTTCAGACTTAAGCATGGTGCTATGGCTACTAACAGCAGAACTGAGTGTATAATGAACACTATTTAACATAATCCTCTTGTCAGATAAAACTCTCTCTTTATTTTACAGATATTGCTTTCTTCGTCTATGCCATAAAATAGTATTTACTGATGAATTTGAGTATATTGGATACCTTGTGGTACTAATGAATATATTTCCTATTATAATCTCTTGGATATCCCAGTTAAATGACATCTATGAGCATGAAATAAGATTCACTAACTATTATTTTCTTGCATTTTATATTCTAGAGGATCTACTTAAGGTAATATAAAATTTATGTGTGTAAATTCGTTATGTTTAATGAGACTTTTTAAACACTAACTACAAACAATTTTCTAAAAGAATATATGAAATTTTCCTTCTCAAGACAGACTTTATTTTTTAAAGATGGTGTTTAGGGTGACTCAGTAGTAAATATGCATGCTTATAGCATTGATTCCATATTGCAAAAAATCAATTTTCAACAGTATAAGTCAAAGAGACACAGTTTAAATAGTATTATGAATGGTCTTGAACTCAGCAAGGTATTAAGCAGATGGATATTCATTCTATTATTTTTATAYTTTATATTTTTATTATATACAGATAAACAATTGAATAGATAACGTGACAGATTTTTTATACTTGAAAAAAGTCATAGCTGGATTTTTAAATGCAAGGACAGCAATATTCTGTCATATGGATCTACAAGTTGTAGTATAAAACATTTTTCACCAGAAGATTTAAATAAAATAAATGCATATGATGTTTGGACAAAATAAATAAATCTCAAATCTTGGCTGTAAAATTTAAATGCTGTTGCAGAGTCATAGTAGTGGAAAAGAGTGGATTCAAATCCAATCACATAGTGCTTGGTAAATTCCAAGCTAGTCAGAAAGAACATAGGGGGTATCAGAATTAAAAGGAAATTAAGCAATTGGGGCTAGGTTTAATAGTGGTGAAGAGTACCCTAACATCATTTAACACACACTGTGGTGAAAAAAACATTAAGTTAGAATGCAGTCAACCTTGCCTCTGATTTTAGTTTTCTGTGATGAGTTGTAAGCTATTATCAAGTTACTGAACTTTTCCCAACCTTAATTTCCTCTACTATAGAAGGGCAGTGTTACTAAATGATATATGAAAATGCCTCTGGATCTAATAATAGATGCCTCTTTTTAAAAATATTTATTTGTTAAATGCTTCTATTAGTCTTTGTACTTTACCAACTTTTGAGCTGCTGCCCTAGCTATAGTTGGCTTCATACAGTCCAGCTTAGTTAAGTATCAGAACTGGACTGTAAAGACATCATTGTACTTTATGGAGATACTGAGAGGAAACTTCCTCTGTGCAATGCTTGTCTCTACCTTCAACTTAACTTCAAATAATTACCTCCAGAATCAAATGATTCTTAACTCAAGAATCATTCTTACTGCTCAATTTGCAATCTGGCACTTGTTTCTCTTTTATTTTTTTTACCCTTTTTTCTGTTGATTTCAGCTCTGCCCCTTTTCATCCTGTCTTTCAAAATCTCCATTATGTTCATAACAATTTATCAACTATAAAGGCACCAGTTATTGCTTTCTTCGTCTATTTCAAATCCTTACATTACAAGATTTCAAATCCTTACATTAATTCTGTAAGCATTTTTGGCTGTTTGTTTTACATTAAAGGACCATGACACACTGTGTATTTGCTTGAATTTGTCTTTTCACTGCTGCCCCTTGTTTCCAGGGACATTTTATAAATCTGCTTCTTTCCATCTATGCCTATCCTTGGTGACCCATTCTAAGTCAATGAGTGCCCCTTTACAGACTGCATTGCTGAACCTGTTGGTCTTTGTTTTTCGGTGGCATTTTAGACATTCAGGCTCTTAGATGCATCAGAGAAAAACCTAACTGGTGAAATTTAAGGTATTGTGGGAAATGATGTAGTAAAATTGAAACCATGACCATGTAATTTCTTCTTAAATCAACAGATGGCAGCAATGAGGAAGGACTATTTTTCACACACTTGGAATATTTTTGAGTCAGTAATTTCATTGATTGGCATCATAGATATAATACTTACTGAGACAAATTTCATTAATTATTATTTGAATTTCATTGAAGCCAAAGTGGTCTTTATGAAAATAGTTCGACTCCTTCGTATATTACGCATTTTGAAGGTAAAGAGCCAGTAAATCATTCAATTTCAGATTTCTCCTGTTTCATGAAATGTGGCTAAAATCAGTTTACTTAGGGCAACCACTTTCTATTGGGTTGTTTAGATCTTAAATTTTAGCTCCCTTTGATGAATCAAGTTTTATAACATTTTATGTTATGAATAATTAAATTAGGGCTGGGCTTGTGGCTCAGTGGTAGAGCGCTTGCCTGGCATGTGTGATTCTCAGCACTACATATAAATAAAGATTAATCAATGACTAAATATAAGAAGTAAGAAGAATAATTCAATTAAATTAGAAATTAGTTTATCATGTGAAAGTATAGACGTACTCATCACAGCTTTTCCTTTTAACAGAGAGCAGATGAAAAATTCCATACTAATACAAGTTAACCTTGAAATAATTTTTCTTTTTATAGATACAAGAAGATGAAAGATAGAGATTWAAAAAAAACAACATTTACTCAAAATAGTCACAGGAATAAAACAAATAGCGTACATTCACGCAAATTAAGAACAAAAACTACATGTGCCATGTTATGTACATTCATAGCACTGTTATAGAGTGGTATCAAAAATGACCTTTGAGTATCAAAAATGTGCTTCTTTTTTTGGTACTAGGAATTGAACCCGGGGCACTTAATCACTGAGCCACATCCACAGCCCTTTTTTATATTTTATTTGATACAGGGTCTCACTAAGTTGCTTAGGGCCTCTCTAAGTTGCTGAGGCTAACTTTGAACTTTTCTTGCCTCAGCCTCCCGAGCTGCTGGGATTCCAGGTGTGCACCACCACACCTGGCTCTAAATCATGTTTCTATAACAAGTATGATGTGTGGTTTTCATTTTTTGTATGATTATTTCAATGACATGAAACTCCATGACAAGACATGTAAGGATATATGGAAGCAGATATAATTTCTCTGATTCTTTTGCTATTCGTACACAGGGCATGAATCCATTTAAGCACTGTGTGACATGCTAAGCTAAATAGACCAATTTTATCAAGAGTTTAAGATAACATTATAGAGTGCTTATAACTTTTATTTTGCTACTGAGAGGCATAAATCAAGTAGGTTAAAAGGATGCAGTCAATACTTTAGTATTCCATGGAATAGTAAGTAAAGCTAGTGTGCAATCTAACCCAAGGAAGGCAAGTCTAGTCTATTTTAACATCTAGTTAGTTCTTTCTGATAAGAGGGAGGATATACAGTACCTACCAAAAAGTTTGGATAAAGAAACTGATAACCCATCTAAGATTCATAAGATTTGCTTATGGATTCAGGAAAGACAAATTAGATAATCTCTGCACCAAAGGAGTTTGTCGTAGAAGGAAAATGACAAGTATTCTAGGTTCCGAAGTTATATGGTAGGATAAATGCAAAACAGTAGTATGCAAGTAGTAAAGTAAAAAGCTTCCTTTATTAGGTGATACTTGAGCTGAATCTTTTTGGGATTAGTGGCAGGTAGTTGGGGGGGAGAGTATGGAGATTATGGAGCATAGATAGGAAAACAGAGGGAACAGCTGTCTCTGCTAAAGTTAGGGAGCTGCCCATTTAAAACATAGAAGCTGGAGACTTAAACCCTTGGCAAAGGGGAGAAATTAATTGTGGAATGTAACTGGGGATATGGTAGTAGAAGTTTTATAGATTTAGCATGTGAGGGTGTCAGTATTTTGTAGATAATCATTTTACAACTAAACTCAGAAAATAAGTCACATTGTTTCACAAGAACTAAAACCATTTGAAAATAGCATTTAATACTCCATAAGATACATATATAAAGAATAAAGTTATAAGCTACAAATAGGTGCCTAATATCATGCATTATGAGAAGTAGTTTTAGTCATGAAGTTATAAAAGACAGCATGAATAAAATAAGAATCTTGGCAGGTTACTCTAGTTACCTTAGAAGGCACATAATTTTTCATTATTAATTTGGGTTAAACTGATCAACATATAAGCAAATAAAATTTGTGCTATATATATATATATTATATATTATATATATACACATACACACATAGAGAGAGAAATAGATTTGTGCAATTCACAATAGTTGTCCTGTTTTTCTCAGCTCATAACTCCAAAGTTGCTGCAAATAATAGATAAAAGGATGAGTCATCAGCTGTCCTTTCGGTATGCTATACTAAAAGGATACGTCCAAGGTGAAGCAGATGTCATGAATATAATTGATCGGATTGCAAGTTCTGAACAAATTAAACAGGTGAGAAAAATTTTAAATACTAGAAAAAGACTTCACTCCTTCTACCTGGGTTGACCTCATCCATTATGTTCTGAATCAGTACATTTAGCTGTGGTCTTTGACTCCTGGTGTGTTAATTAATCTCTGCAAAAGCTTAAACTAGTCTACATTTAAATTTCTTGCTAATATGAAACACATTTCAGTAAGTTACAAGACTCTTGTAAATCAGTTTTTGGTCCTCGTGAAACTCATATGTAGTGGTCAGCTTTCTACCAATGCAAGCTCCAGGATTTATTAGGCTATTGTTGTATTAGATAGGAAATATTGGAAAGTGAGAAGGGACAGCAGTGTAGGGCAGAGGTTCCTCATAATGCCTAAAGGCTCCTACAATCTCCTTGTTTTTTCCATAGTAAACAGTAAAGGAAATAAAAGTGAGTGATCTAACAAATAGAAGGAAGTAAAGAAAACAATAGTTTTCTACATGGAAACCTTTTGGAATTCTCTCATTAAGCAGATGAGACGTATGAGAACAAGAGGGGTTAAATGGTCGACTCAAAGTTCCATAGATAGTAAGAGACAGAGACAGTGCTAGGGCCTAAATTCTAGGTTTCAACTAATACTATCATGTGCCCACAAGTTTATTGTCCAGGTAGAATTCAATATTTGCCTCCAGAAGTGATTTAGAACATTTGACTATTATATTTTATGTGCGCAAAGCTTTGTAGTTACAAAAAAAACAAAAAACAAAAACTGTATATTCAATGTGTGGTAGAACACAAAAAGTAGTTTTTCCTCTCTTCACCACACAACTTTAAAACTGATTTCCTGAGTTTAGTTGTCTTTTTTAATCTCTGATATTTAGTCCTGGAATTGGAGGATGCACAGGAGAAAAAGCAAAAGGAGTTAGATCACTAAATTACTGTCCAATTTTTGTATTCATTTCAACTTTCAAACACCCTTTGCCAAACCTTTTATCAACCTTGAGGTTGAAAGCCATTCCTGGTTTCCCAAATTTATAGGGTCTCCTAAAGATGAATGGTCAAGTAACCCCCATGCCTTTCCAAATCAATAATATCCTAAAGTAAGTTACCTTGAGGAAAAATATATGAGGTGCCTTTAGGCTTCTCCAAACCAGCCTAGGAATGCCATTTCTTGTTTTCTGCAGTGCTCTTGCTGAAGCAAAGAAGCCTTCAGGGCTGGAGGTGTAGCCTAGTAGCTCAGTGGTAGAGTGTGTGAGGTTTAATGATTCTTAGCATCAACAAAAGGAAAAGAAAAGAAAGGAAATGGAAACTTTTCATTGCACAAAATTCAATTCTAATCCCCCCAAAGGTCTCCATCATACTTTTCTACAAAGTTTGATTTGGTTAACTATCCAAAAGTTGTAAATATAAAGACATTTTATGAAGTTTCATTTTTCCAATAGAGATAATAATATTTCTTTTGTTCTGTAGATGTTATTAATTCAGGTAACAAGTAATATGGAACAAGCTATGAAAGAGCTAGGTAAGTACCTTTCTTCCTACATATTTAGCATGATCATCTTTTATCATCATGATTTCAGAAAAACAAGGATTTCTTTTATAACTAAGCTAATGTTTAAGGAAACTTATTTCCAATAATAATAATAAAGTGGATAACTTCAACAGTCATCATAATTGTATTTTCTAGTATAAGTGGGTATAGTGTAATATCACCTCCACACACTTATTCTCACTGCCAGATACAATGAAGATCTTTTAATTTCTGTTTAAATAGTCCATACCTGCATGCCATAACTAAGCATGCCATTTTATATCTTTATTAGTTCCGTTTTCTTCCAAACTTGTGTCTTCCTGAAAAATGGGGAAAGAAATTCCTTTTTCTCTTCACTGCCATTCAAAGGTTTAGGGTTACACTGAATTGAATACAGAAGTGTGCTGCACAAGTCTTAGGAAAAAGAGATCCAGTACCAGGGAGTAGGCAGCAAAAGAACACAGAAAAGCCTGATAATGAGGCTAGATTAGCAAGATTGTGTATGGCAAACAGTTACCAGGACAGATAAGAGGTCATGACCAAAGAAAAGTCCAAATGTAAAATCTGCGTGGATAAAATCTTCCAAGGAGCCAAGAATCCAGAAGAGACGAGCAGAAAAGCACAAATGGATGAGTCATCTAGATACATAGGCCAGGTGAGAGGACCATAACCTGGATGAATGAAAGGGTTTAAATCAGAAGGCATATCTGAGCACACAGTCCATAGAAAAAAATCCTGATCCAAACAGAATAGAAAAGTAGATCATGAACACCCAAGATTTAGTGCCCCAAGCAGCCTCCCAGTGTCCAGGGCCAATGGGTCAATATAACTCTTAGTTTTAGGGTGAGGGCTGTCTATCCTTTCCCATGGGCTCAGGCACAGGTGTGAGCGCTGTCAAGAAAATGGCAGAACTCTGATATTACTCGTAAGAGACCATTGACAACAGTGAGTGTGTCAGGGAGAGGTTCATTTCCCCGTGTTGAAGGCTTTAGTCCATTAGCTATTGTCCACATGAAGCATTTACAAGCATATTCTCATTGCATCTGAAAATAATTTGTTACTTTTCAGGTTACTTGGAGTATGATCACCCAGAAATCGCTGTCACTATGAAAACAAAGGACGAGATTAACGTCATGCTCAATATGGCAAGAGAAATTGTCAAGGCGTTCAGGTTAGAAGGAATTCTTCATAAAAGTGAAGGTGCTGAAATTTTTAAGGTAAAGTGAAATATTTTGGGAGCAAATATATTTACTTCATATGTAGTCATTCACAGTATTGGAGCCTGCTTTTGACTCTTTCAATAAATATCATCCTTGAGATATGAAAATCTCACTTAAAATAATTATTCAAGGGCAAGCACCCACCATAGAAAGGTTTCTTCCTGTAGCCTCAGTGGTCAACTTCTTTTTCCATTTTAGCCCCCAGTGAAAGATCATATCTTTCTCTCAAACCAATGGTCTAATTAATCTAATCTTCATCCTTCACTACCATGGATATCAATGTGTTCTTGATAATTATCTATGATACTGAAATAACTTTTCCCACACAAGCCATAATCTATGAGAATGCTCAGGTGTAGGATTAGGACTAACTACATTATCTTTCTCAAAGTTACATAAGTGGTACAGTGACATGGCATATTAAAAGATAGAAAGTTTCCCAACTCGTTCTATAAACTGTTGTTATTTGTTCTTCATTTAATTAAAAATCCTAAGGATTTAGTTTAAAAGCTGTAAAATTATTAAGAGAATTCAATAGAGTACCCAGAAACAAAATAGTATACAAAATGTATCCCCAGTAAAAGACAATGTAGAAAAATATTCTTTCTAATTATTCCTGGTTATCTATAGGATAGACTCAAAATCCCTTTGAACGACACGTGAAGTCTTCCTACCATCAGCTTCCTGCCAACTTCCCAGCTCTGTTTCCTGTCTATTAACAATTGCAATTAAAAGTACAGACCCAACATGAATTATGTAACACCCATGTAGTAAGAGCTAAAAAAAATCTCACTGAGCACATATTTCTGTCAAGGAGGGATTGACGCACATTTCTAGAAAGGGCTACATAGCAAATATATTATTCAAGCACTATGTTTCCTGCCACAACTATTCAATGATGTAATTGTTGCACCAGAGCAACTATAAAAAACATGTAAATGAATGACTATCCCCAAAATACTCCTTACAAAAGCAAGCATCAAGCAAAGTTGGCTTATAGTAGTTTATAATAGTTTATAGTAGTTTATAATAGTAGCTTATAATAGTTTTTCAACCCATGCTGTAAAGACTCAAAAATTTAAGATGTGAATCATCCATAAAATAATGTTAATCTAATAAACAATAATAAAAAATAAAATCTCAAGGGAGCCTAACCAGTAGGTTACTAATACAATTTATTGCTCAGAAATTTTTTTTTTTTCAAAAACTGATTGTTGGACTGGGGTGCAGCTTGGCAGTGGAGTGATTACCTAGGTTTGATTCCCAACACACACGCAAAAGTGAGAGGAGAGCTCTCTAGATTCTGTTTCCCCACCTAGACAGGAATTATACTGGAAGAATCTCTCTGAAGTAACCATGTTGGAATTCTGGAACCTACTGAAGGGTTGACATATTCCAGGGGAAGGTTTGTGGTTAATGTCTGTCAAGTTTAGTCCTTAGCACAATATCAGTTACCCATCTCTTACCTCTCAACACCATAACAGTTAACTGTGMACATGTCTCAGAAGCACATCATATAAAACTTGCAGAAAACAGAACACACAAAAAGGACCCTATCTTCCAAGTATCAGAAATTTGACACCTGACAAAAGCAAGGAAGAAGGTTTATTTTGGCTGATGGTTTCGGAGTTTTTAGTCCATGGTCAGCCACTCCATTGCTTTGTGTGGACATTTATGATTTATGCATATTTTTTTGGACATCTGCTATACTTCAGTAAGACRATTTGCTTTAAAAAGCCAAGCTACTACTTTAGAATGATGATCATTCAATGATCAAAGAAACGCAAAGATGTAATAAGAGAGAAGAGGTCAGATGTTTCTATGCAAGAACAAAAATCTCAGAAGATCAAGATTAGGAAATAATAGAAAGTGACTTTTTTTTTTTTAACATTCCGGGAACACCAGTTTGTTTCATCTACTTTTTTAAATTGTATGGTTTTAGGTAATCATGGCCAGAAAAAGAGAGGTGCTTGATTTTCAATCTGTTATCAAGCCACTAACTGTTGACGAAATTATGTATCACATTCCATGGCTTGAGAAAGACAAAGACCGTATAGACTTTATTCAGGTAAGATTTTTATTTGCTAGTAATATCATCTTTCATGTACCAACAGCTAATCTTTTCAAAAGTAAGTATTTAAGCATGATACACTCTAAGTTAAAAACTCTCTAATTGTTCCTGATTATCTGTAGGATAAAATCAAAATCCCTTTGAAATGACATGCACAGTCCTTCTACCACGGGCTCCCTGCCTACTTCCCATTTGTCATCAGTCCCTAATATTCTACTCATACCCATCCACTCATGGTGCCCCACACACTTGACACTGTTTTCTAATTCCATTTATCTGTGGGTGCTATTTACTTTCCTTGAAATGCCCTTCAGTTCCACTTTTTTTTTTTCAAAATTTACATGCTAATTATGTCTCCAGAAACATTCCACCAGAGGTGCTCAGAGAAGTAGGCCTTGGGCTCGATTCCTTACCATCCTGTAGTCCATCTTGGATTTGGGAGGACCAAAGGTGCTACCMTTGTTTCCAGTACATGTTTTCATTACAGCGTTAAGTTCATTAYATGACAATTATTTTGACATCTCTGTCACCTACTGTGTTTTTTTTTAGCTCACTCATCTTTTGAATATCCAGTTTCTTTCACTTGCATGCTGCATAGTGGTTACTCAATGAAAGATTTTGGAATTAAGAAATAAATGGGTCTAACTGGCTTCAATAATATTTGTTTTCTATGTCAATCTAGTGCCAAAAGACCAATTATATCTTTTCACCTACTTAAAACATTTAGAGTGAAGGAATTTTTTATTTCATGAGCATAARTAATAGAATATGTGCCACAAACCTTCACTGTTTCCATTATTTTTCACTCACATGAAGCATTTTCATTCTTCCATTATATCCTCATTTTTAGATTATTTCTATCCTCACCCATATATAAACACTCCAGCTGAAATTTAAAATAGTCATGAATATCTACGTGCCTCTTTATTATTCATAATCTCTATTTCCTCTTACAAATTTATTACCAATACATTCRATTTTGCTGAACATTTACAATATTTACTTTAAAAATGTAACACTTTTATTAAAATGTGAATTTCAACATTCTCAACCACTGCCAAAATATCATTGGTAAGTTACATATTTCGTGATTTTTTTTTTTTTTTTTTTTTTTTTTTTAGGAAAGAGCTAAAATTGTAACATTTGATTGTGGAAATGATATATTTGAAGAAGGTGATGAGCCAAAAGGAATCTATATTATTATTTCAGGGATGGTAAAGGTAAATCAGGGATATTTATTTATAAATGTATTTGTGAGCATTAGTTTAAGAAAAACTTTTATTATAAAATTGACAATATCTTTCCATGTTAAGAAGTACATAGTTTGCATAGTTCATTTTTAGGGCAGCACATACCACTCAAACTATAATATTGTTGATGAGAGAGAATGGATAATAATACATATAACCTTTTAAGTCATATTTTCTCCTAGATATTAAGAATCCATCAAAAGGATCATGTTTTAAGACAGAAAATTATAAATTATTGTTCATTTTATGTTTATATAAAGTAGATATAGTTGGCTGAGCAGAAGAAATTCAAAAGATCAGAGTATTTATGAATGTTTTGTGTCTAGGTCATTGCTAATAATAGGTTTACTTAAGGAGAAATAAGTATTTTCATTTTTAAAATAACAYTTRTGCATTATAATTGTTAAAACCAAAGTGGGAAGAAACCATAAGGTTGACAGTCTGGACAACATAAATTACCTGGCAAACRCATTTTTCTGTTTCTTTGTTCTTGAACAGCTTAAAAGAGTAAATCTGGGTACAGAGAATGAGACAATACTCTTGGAGACAGAGGAGAAAGCTTACCCAGTCATTTACACAGACTATGTGCTCAGCGGTGAAATAATAGGAGAGTTAAACTGCTTAACTAATGAGCCAATGAAATATTCTGCTACTTGCAAAACTGTAGTGGAGGTCAGAAAATATCACCTATGTCTTACTGTGGTACCTCATCCAATGTCTAATATAAAATTTAAGGTCTTTTCAATGTGTAATATGTCTACTGTTTAGTTTCAATTTATTATTATTTTTAAATAAGAAAAGTAAAGGAGCAAACTTTATTGCAAAGTTGTACTCACCTAGCATAATGTCCAGATMAATGGCTTCTGAAAGTGAACCTGCCATATGGTTAAATTCCTCTTTTGATATGGCAGTGATAGAATTAATTAATGGAAAACTTCCTTAGAGATGATTGAAGACAACATCTTCAACGTGCAGGGTTCCCATTGGCATGATTTGAACTCAAAAAGAATGGAGACTTCCATTTTTGAAGTTACAATAAAAGAGAAAATTTATAGCTCTACAAACTATTATATCAACCCAGTTTATGGAAAATACAAGCTAAAACCAAGCGACACTAGGAAGGAATACTTAGCTAAATCTAGAATATGGAAGATTCTGCAGGACAAATGACCTGAYTTCATCAACAAATAGTGTGTAGACAGAGAGGAAAAGAAGGCAAGAGAAAATTATTAAAAACAAACTTAGGAAATACAGTGACCAAATATAATTGTCCCAATTTTAACAAACCAATTCTTAGAAGTTTGAGATAATTTAGGAAATTTTAATATCAGCAGAATATCAGATGATACTGTTATCTTTAATTTTGTGTGTGTTAAGTACGATAATTGACATGTTATATTTTTGAAACATTTCTGTCATTGGGTGATGGAAATCAAAAATTTCATAAGTGAAATTATGTGATACCTAGGATTTGAATTTAAATACTAGCTTTCTACTTCAGGCTTTGATGAAGTTACTAGCACACTAACCATATTATGACTACAAACTTGACAAAATATATGAGGTAAATGTTTTCAGCCATTGAAATAGGCAGTTTATGCCTGAAAACCTTAAGAGAAATTCACAATGTAAGCCCTACATGCATCCTGTTCCCACCCATGATGCAGCAGGTAAGAACCTCATGGAAAGAGAAATGGGGGAGGTTAAGATGGCGGAAATCTGCCAAGCAGGGAGCAAAAAAAGGAACTGCAGAGACTCAGAGAGTCTGCGGGATGGTTCTCCACAAGCCCTCTGTTGAGGATTGCACATGCACAGAGTGAGTAAAAGTAGAGTGACTTAGTTATTCTTTTTTGACTTTGCCACTGTGCCCAGCTTTACTAGGTTGTTGAAAATGGAATAGAGACTTTTGAGGTCTAGAAGCATCAAGGATTGGGGACTTTTAAGGTTCTATCTTGCCAGAGAAAGAGATACTTGTTAAAACCAAAAGTAGACAGTTAAGGAATAARAAAGAATAGACTTTAGGAGTGATGATCATGATCTTGATTGGGGCTTGTTATAGATCCACCCTAACAGCTTAAGACCAAGCCCTAGCAGAATCATGAGGGAAAAGAGTTTYCAAGTTGCACTGTCTTGGAAAGTATGGTTTTTTGCTGATTGGCCCAAGCAAATCATAAAACCCAGCTGACACAAGCTCACAGTAATCAGATTGTATATGAATTGCCAACTCCAGCAAGAATCAACAATTTTCAAAGACAGAATTCTACAATGTATCATCAGGAGTCATACAAAGAAATATGAAGTAGTAACCTAGAGTAAAAAATAACTACAAATGGTTCATTACCCAAAAGTATATATTATTATTATTATTAATTTAAAATAAATTAATAAAAATAGGTATKCGAGGTAATAGATATCATTTTACAATGTGTACATATATCAAAACTTCACACAATATCACATACATACAATTTAATAGAAGAATACTAAAGAACTTCTAATTGGACCGTGTGGCCTTTTGAAATTTAGTGCAGTGGTGCCTGGCATGGTGGTTCACACCTGTAATCTCAGCTCAGTGGGGCTAAGTCAGAAAGACTGCAAGTTCAAAGACAACCTCAGCAACTTTGTGAGGTCCTGAGCAATTTAGAGAGACCCAATTTTTCAAAATAAAAAATGAAACAGGCTGGGGATGTGGCTCAATGGTCAAGGGTCCCTGGGTTCAATCCCTGTTACCAAAAATAAATAAATAAAATAAAATAAAATTTAGTACAATGGAGCTAGGGATGTGGCTCAGTGGTAGAGCATTTGCTTAGCATGTGCAAGTTCCTGGGTTCAATTCACCAACACCACATCACAAAAATAAAAATAAAATTTAGTACAAGACAAGATCACAAAAATTGTGACCAATATATACATTTTATTATGTTTCCAAGCCACAGTAAGAAACTTACTAAATTGAAAATCTTAGTTTTAATGTTATTATAGGGAAAACCTTATTTCTTCAACCATAGGTGCACAGAATGAAATATTAAATTTATATCTTCCTTTTCCCAGACATATTTTATTCCAAAATCTCACTTGTATGAAGCCTTTAGACAAAAGTATCCTGGCATGGAAGATAAWATGTGGCTAAAAATTGGACGTGGAATTACTGCCCAAAAAATCAGGGAACATTTATCTTATGAGGTAAGAGGTGTTTTACAAAYTTCTCATTAAGATATTGCCAAAAATTGACCACAAATTTATATTAAACTTCATAAATAATCAATAGGCTATGAAATTGTGTTTTTCTTATAGGACTGGAACTATAAGATGCAATTAGAGCTCTATAACATGCACATAAGAGATATACCGAAAAATACCAAAATTGGTATCTATGATGAAAGTGTAACCTATGTTATCCTCATACATGGAGCTGTAGAAGATTGTCTGTCACGAAAACTTTATAAGGCACCTTTCTTAATTCCTATAACATGCCATCAGGTAAAGAAATATTGATTCGTGTCTTCAGGCCAATATGTTTTATGTCCAACAATGTATTAGTATCAGAAAAGTCGATATCATAATTCMACTTTCTACCTTCCCATTATCCTCTTTCCCCCCCACTCCATAAACACCCACGACAGCCACATACAGTCTTCATCCATTGCTTTGGTAAAGCATCGATTTGCATTCAGATAGCAGCTCCGTTCCTTGGAGCTTGAGGGAAGGCAGAAAATCATGAGGAAGGATRTGGCAGGGGAAAGCTGCTCAGGACATCATTGCACCAGGACGTGGGGAGAGAAACTGTGCTCACTACAGACAAAATGTAAACCCCAAAGTTATGCTTCCTATAACGCACCACCTTCAGCAGCACCCCACCTGCCTACAGGTACCACCCAGTTATTCCCTCACTGATTTAAGGGACGGCACTCATAAACCCAGTCATTTCACCTCAACTTTCCTGCATTGTCTCACACAAGAAAGTCCCAGAGCCCCCTTACACTTGTCTAAYTCTGTCTATCCCCTACTCATACAGCCCTGCTTATTGTGGATTTGAGTGTCAGTGTGATTCAATGCATTAAAAAACAGCACATGTTGGAATGATTTCTTGAAATATTTTTAAAACTCTTTCTGCCATATAGAAAAACTCTTTGATTAATTTTTTAAATGATAATTAAACTTCATAATTTTCTCAGCTGGAAGAAAAATAAAATATTTTTAAGAATCAATAAGAGTGGGCTGTAGCTCAGTGGTAGAGTGCTTGTCTCACACATATGAGGCACTGGGTTCGATCCTCAGCACCACAGAAAATTAAATAAATAAAATAAAGATATTGTGTTTACCTACAACTAAAAATATTTTTAAAAATCAATGACAGTATATGGAATATTGACCTTCCCACGATCAGCCTAAGAATTTTAAGATATCTGTCTTACTTCTGTTGATTTACTGATAATTTCAATCATCTTTTAAATATCTAGAGAGGACCTGAAATAGTAGCTAACTAGAGAAACATTTAATTGCATTTTATGTATTCAGAAATTAACTTGCATTCTACCAACTTACAGATACAAGGCACAGAAGATTTCACAAAAATAATGATTATTCAAACTTCAATTGATCTGGAAAAACACACATGGAACACAAGAAAGTATATGTCTACACCTAAAACTTCCCTGAAACTAGGATCAATAAGTGAGTTATTTCTTTTGGGAAATTTGAGAACTTACTATTCTTTTATAAAATAGTCATATATATATTTGGAACAGGTRTATTCATGTTGCCTAGAGTGTTTTTCAACCTCCATATTCAATACTCATACATGAACTCAGAATATCAAGTTACGCTTAGAAATTATTGTATTTTATCTATAAGAATAAACATGCATAATTATCTTAATAATATGAAAAAATTAATGAGGGAACTTCAGGCTCCTCCCCTGAATTAAAATATTTTATATGGCAATAATAATAAAAATAAAAAGAACTGACATATAAATCACTAGAACTAAATGGGTAATCTTGATATAAATTCTGTTCTTCATACAAATTTCACATGATAAAAATTATATCAAAACATAAATGATTATTTAATAACTCCTACAAATCTGTTGAYGAAAATTTGAAAAATAATTTTGAGATTTAAAATCGTAAAGAATTAAATTTTGAAATAAATAATAACAATAGAAGTTAATAGTTGTCATTTATTTAAAGGAAAAATAATGTTAGAATTTAGAAATATAAAAATTAATTCTAAAATCTTGAGTGTTAATAACCATATTAGTAATGAAGAAATAAACAAAGGACAATTTTATTTATTTATTTATGACAGCGGAATGCATTACAATATTTATTACACATAGAGCACAATTTTTCATATTTCTGGTTGTATACAAAGTATATTCACACCAATTTGTGTCTTCATACCTGTACTTTGGATAATAATGATCCTCACATTCCACCATCATTAATAACCCCATGCCCTCCCCTTTCCCTCCCACCCCTCTGCCCTATCTAGAGGTCGTCTATTCCTCCCATGCTCCCACTCCCTATCCCACTATGAATCAGCCTCCTTATATTTAAAACAAACAAACAAACAAAAAA